GAGGCAGTATCACTACGGAAGTAGGATTGCCCAACCTTCCTTCCGAGGAGTGGCTGGTGGGTTTGAACCGCCAGCTGTCTGGTTAGCAGGCAAGTGTCTTAGCCACTATGCTACCAGAGCTCCCTAGACCTCTCTGTGGGTAGGGTTAATTCTTCATTACACACTCGTCTTAAAGAATCCCATCTGGTATTTTTTTCCTGCCTTCTTCCTTGAGTGTGACTAACCCTTTCTTGCTTTCCTCTCAGCCTGGTGGTGTCTGGGAGTGAAATAAGACAAGCCAATGATGGCACTTTGCCCGTCTATGGGAGGTCTTCAGCCTCCTTTACTTCAACATGAGGCTTTTTTAAGCGCAAACTTGCTACAGAGCACAGCGGCCACCCTTGAGGCTCAGGACTGCCTGTCCAAACGTCAGACAATCTGCACCAAAGCTGTCCTCCATACGAAGACCTAGGCTGCAATTGCAAAACAGCTTTATTTTTAAATATACACCAAAACAGTCATACCAAAGTAGCTACAAAAAACAGAAAAAGTGCTCAAGTTTCCTGGACAACTTTGCAACTCTCCCCAGGTGAGCAGTACAGGGTGTTCTTCCCAGCGATCTTGGGTTGGCACTGCCACCTGGTGTGTGAGGTCACAGTGCACATGGCTCACTGTGGCCCAGGAGGGGCCTGCTCTGACAGTCTTCTCCTCGAGGCTCTCCACAGTCCCCCTCGTGATGGAAGTACCACTGGCTCAGGACCCTGGGGCCCTGGGCCTCTTCCCAGACACCCTGGTTAATTAAGGCTGCCTCCTTGCTCACCTCGGCAGAAAGTTCCAGCACCTGGCCAAAGCTCCTGTGGACAAAACAAAACCAATGAACATTGTCACCATATCGGGTATAGACCTCAATGAAACCACAGACCCTTTGCCTCAAGTAGGGGTGGCCTGCTGGATGAGGGAGAACTCACACCTAACAAGCCGTGGTCTTTTTGAATAAACTCACATGCATGCCAAAGTTGGGTAGTGAAAAAGGAAGACTGAAGAAATTATTTTAACTGTGGCATTTTAACTGTGGTATCGGTGATGAATAGCATGGACTGGCAGAACAAAAAAATCAGTCTTAGAAGAATTAAAACCAGAATGTCCCTTGGAAGCAGGAATGGCAAAACTTATTTCGGACACTCATCAGGGAAGACCAATCACTACAGAAAGACATCATGGTTGGTAGAGGGTTACCGAAAATGAAACTGAAAACCAAAACAACTACCATCAAGTTGATTCCAACTCATAGGGACTCTACAGGACAGAGCAGAACTGCCCCATAGTATTTCCAAGTTTGTAAATATTTACAGAAGTACACTGCCTCATCTTTCTCCTGCTCAGCAGCTGGTAGATTTGAACTCGTGACTTTTGGTTTGCATGTTGTTGTTAAGTGCCGTCGAGTCATTTCCGACTCATAGCGACCCCATGCACAGCAGAATGAAACACTGCCCGATCCCGCGCCAGCCCCACAA